AATGATACATAGCCCATTTAAATGACAACATAGGTTACTAACTCAAGTGTAAATACAATATATTTTAGTTTTTTGATAAAATATTTATATTTGAGTTGTAACCCAAGTTGTCATTTAAGTTGAGTAAATAACATTATTCTTTTATTTTATTATTAAATATATAAAAAATTGTAATTTCATACTTGATTCTCGCACCTTCTAAACAAGGTTCTTGTAAGTTGGATCAAAATTTAATGACCTATAAAATTATGAGAGGATTCCCAACGTAATTACTCAATACTCTGATATTAGACTTAGTTTTTACGTGCATCAAAAATTAATTCAAGCCAATTTTTCATACATAAGGACTTATTAATAAGTAAATATGATATTTTTTCTCTAAGTTCTTCTATTATGCCAAAATCATGAAAATATTCTGAATATCTCATAAATTTTATGTCTTAATAAAATTCCTTCTTTTCGAACTTGCTTACATGACCTTCAAAAGGCTCCGATTTCTCCTAAGTTTTACATCAACCTAGAATAAACTCTCCTTGCACGATGAACTTGTCAAATTGTTCGCGGACTATTTTTATTCCTCGATTTTAATCGAACTTCGAATATTTATTAGATATCTTAAACTCTTTATCGAGGTAATATAGCTGACTATAACAATACTCATTTTAAACAAAAAACACAATCCAAGCAAGCTGTACACAGTCTAAATGGCATAACACAACTTGCCCAAAGTTTCTTGCAAAAAATCTGCTCAAAAAAAGAAATCCTAACATGCAATACACTTCTCTTTTGTCTGTGAACTATATAAAAAATAAACTATTTTTGTCTTATTTAATACTATTACGAACCACTTCTTATGAAGATAAGATTACATCCACATGAATTACAATTTTCTCTATACAAACTACCCTTAGAATTGTAATAATCAATCACATTCTATCTCATGGCTTTTAAGTTCAATTTTAATTTATATTTGATTTTTTTATGGAGAAAATAATTAATTAGAAGGGAAAGTTGTGAAATATACTATAACTAAAATGATACTTCATAGTAATGTTTTACATTTTTTTTTAAGTAGATATGACAGGTTGTCTATATCACATTGTATATTAATTAATGTTCTAAATAACCAAAGGTTAGGAATGTAATTTCAAGCTACTCAATTATTAGCCAAACCTAAACTATGACATATATAACATGCATCATGCATCATGCATACTATTAATTCAATATTATATTTTTTTGTCCTACCCAAAATCCCCTTATAAATAACACCTCTTCATATTCAATCCAATTCCCCCCCACCCCACCCACCCAAAAAATTTTATTAGTTTCTAAAAACTCTCCACAAATGGCCATCTCACTTTTAAATTACAACCAAAGCACCCTCAATTTCGAGAAATTCAAAAAACACCCCAACAATTCCAACCGGATGTCATTATGGGCCTTTATGGCATCCATCACAATTTACATTTCAGTGTTTTACACTTTCAACCTCTCACCCTCAAATCTCTTGTGTACCCCCAAGTTTTGGTTTATTACACTTAACACCCTTATTCTCATCATCGCGGCCGATTTTAGCGCCTCCCGAGAAAATCTTGACGACTTTCACGATGAATATCGTAAATTCAGCACCACGACATATGGCGACCCGTCATTCGTGGTAAAATATCGTGAAAAAGAAATTTATCAAGAAACTCGTGAGAAAATAATACAAGTCGTGGAAAGTAAAAATGTTAAGAAATTCGAAGACGGTGAAAAGGTGAATGATATTTCGGGTGAGAAAATGATTGGAAAAAATTACTTCGAAAGTAAAAATTTAAATGAGCCGAAAAAATGCGTTCGATCTAACTCGGGGAAATTGAATATATCGCGAGAAAATGAGGAGAAATTGGTCATGAGGAAAACGTTGTCGGACAAATATGATCGTGTGGGGCCCACTTTGGAGGAAGATGAGTTTTCGAGAATGTCGGATGAAGAATTGAACAGAAGAATTGAGGAGTTTATAAGACGGTTTAACAGGCAGATAAGGCTTCAAGCGGGCCGGGCCAGCGGTCCGCCGGTGGTGTAACTGCACCGGATGTAGAGAAGAACTTGTTGCTATATATATTACTTATTTAGTTTCTTAAAATATATATATATATATATATATATATATATATATGAGTTTTGGAGTGTAAGTGTCAGTTTCAACTTTCAAGTGATTCAAAATCTATGTCAATTTGCTAGAAGTCAATTAGTGGAAATTTTATAATTTATAATTTTGATACTTCAAATAGTACATGTCATTTGAATTTTTATTAATGTGTAATAGTAGTTTTAATTTTATTACACACTTTGGCAACACAATTGTAAATATATTTTAAGATCTAGTAATATTTTTATTACTACTTAATATATATATATATATAATTTTAATAAAATAAATATTATAATCCATCTAATTGAAAAATAAATAATATTATTGCTTAGTAATTAAAAAAACTATCTATGCAGCCCATTTTTAAATAAAATAAATGGAATGGTTAATTGTATGATTGGATTAATTGTTGATGTTGCAGATTTCTAATTATATGATCGGTTTTATATTTCTAATAATTAGCACCCAATTTATAAGCATATCTAGTGTAGTACGTATTAATAAAAATAATAATAATAATAATGATAATAATAATAATAATGAAGAGTAAATCAGATTTCTGGCCACGTCCACTTAGATTCAAGAAAGCTTAAACTAGAAATTCATGAGGCACCAAAAACAAAGAGGCTTGGGAGTATCCGATTAATGATTTTGAAGTTGGTGATTTTAGTATTTTACCAAGATGAAATATTCTAATGTAGATTTATTGATATGGCCAATTAATTAACCACAATTTAACAAAACTAATCAACATTTTATTTAGATTTATAGCGTAGAACGATCTAACATTTAATCGAGCGACAAAGACAACAAACATGTTTAGAGGGATAAACGTTCTCATGCAGATCACTAAAGAAGGAAAACATTATTCACATTAATCTGAGATATGATCTAATAACAAATAGTAGCCACTACCATCAAAGTTACGGACAATGATTGTGTGAGCAACAAGAGCAAAGATCTCATCACAATCTCATCCCTGAATTTCTCTAACAACAAGACAATATTTATGAACAATCGGACTTGCTAATCTTAAAGACTCGCTTACAGGTTATAGGTATAGCATATGATGGTAACAAAACAAGGTTCCAAGTGTCAATATGATCAAGTGCATCGAGCTTCTCCGCAACTATGGAATATTACTCGAAGCTTCTTGATATGTTGATGGCTCATCAATAATAACACTTTCACGTGGAAAACCCAACCTATCGACTTGAGACTCTTCAAAAATAGCATATAACACATTATAAGTGAGCATGCTGATGTAGAGGAAATAGGAGAAAGACATAAGAGTTGTTTAGATTAAGAAAAGGTGTCGTTAGACAATTTTTTTTACAAATCAACAAGACATAAATCATCAAATAATTGTGAGACGTTTTATTAATTGCTTTGGCCATACAAATTTAATTCGTCCCATAGTTATAGCACATAAAATTGTTTTAGAGGATATATATCCTAAATTTAATAATTATTTGGTGATAACTACTTCAGCACAATCAATCTAAATGAATAGTATTATTTTACAAGTTGGTTTTATCCTAAAGTAAAGTATAAGCTTTACTCCCACATAGAAAAATCAATCTCCAATTCTTATCCGATTTCAATGGCGACATTGGGTTCTTTGGTGTGTGCATCAACTCCAAACCCACCCAATCAAAACCCATCATCTTCATCGTCTTCTTGTTCAAATTCAAGGCAAACCCTTTGTTTAACAAGACGAAGATCTGTAGTTTTTACTTCCTCCTTGGTGGCCTCTTATTTGCATTTGCATCAAAATGGAAAAAAGCCCACTTTACAGCCCGCCATAGCCCAAGAAATGGACGAGCTTGACGTAGATGAAAACCGGGTTGTTCAAATTTTCCAGGTATTCTAATTCATGGCCTTTCTTTGCACATTTAGTTCGAACTGTACGTGGCATGAGAAAAAAAAGAAGAAGAAGAAAAAGATTGAATTTTTCCTGTTATTTTCTAAAATTTGAAGAGGCCCTTTTAGTTATATTGCAATTTCAGTTGAATGGGAGATTATATAATTTATAAAATTGATGACTTGACTTTGATGAAAACGAGTTGTGTGAAGTGTGAACCAAAAAGCCCGCTTGATAATCTTGAAAATTAAGTACTGGATGATGCAATTGACTTCCCTGTATAGTGCATTTAGTAATTGATTGTTAAATTTGGTTTACACTTGTAGGAAAATTTATCCTCTGTGGTTTTTATCAAGGACATTGAGTTAGCTAAAGTCCCAAAGAGCACTTCTGAAAAGAGTGTAGCTGATGAGGAGAATGCGAAAGTGGAAGGAACGGGTTCTGGCTTTATCTGGGACGATTTTGGTCATATTGTAGGTTCTTTATTTTTCCTTGGAATTCTTTCGTTTTTCCTCTTCTTTTTGAATTTTGAACCAAACTTATGCGTGAAAAAATATAGTGAATTGTTTTTTTTTTGTATAACAGGTAACTAACTACCACGTGGTTTCTAAATTGGCAACGGATAGAAGTGGCTTACAAATCTGTAAGGTTCCGTTTTTCTGTATTTTTCTTGCTGTATTTGCTTATCTTGATGGGAACTTTGCAGTTTGCTCTTAATGTCTCTCATAATTTTATCGATTTGCAAAACTTGATGTCTTTTTTGTTAATTGCCAATGCCTTTCCAGGTATCTTTAGTGGATTCTAGAGGCAAAAACATCACTAGAGAAGGCAAAATAGTTGGTTTTGATCCGGATTATGACCTGGCAATTCTGAAGGTGTTTTATTAGCAAACGAGAGTGAAAAATATCTTGTTTGAATTTTTTTTCTTTTTGGCGTTATGTTATCTTGATATCTTCCCATTTGGCTCCTGTTTGAAATCTTAAACTTGTGTGGTAGTAAGCCATATGGTAAAAATTTGCATTTAGCCAGTCAGTGTAATGTATTCGCTAAATTATCGACTTCATATGGAAGGTCGATGCCGAGAGAAATGAGTTCAAGCCAGTGACATTCGGCACATCTCATGACTTACGAGTGGGGCAAAGTTGTTTTGCTATTGGGAACCCATATGGATATGAGAACACTTTAACCACAGGGGTAATTTTATTTTATTCTATTTTTTTGTTAATTTGAGCTCAGTTGTTTTGTTTTAGCATTGGGATTTGCTGAGTAAATAAAAAACTAGTCGAGGTAAACTAAAGTTATAAGCAGGTTATCAGTGGATTAGGCAGGGAGATACCTTCTCCAAACGGGAAAGCTATTCGAGGAGCAATTCAAACGGATGCTGCTATTAATGCCGGTAAATTCGTCTCGTTCATTTTTTGTTTAAAAAATAATTTCTGTAAGTTTTCTTTCTACGACATATAGTTTGATCCTGCTATTCGTGCTTTGGTTACTTTCATTAGCAGGATTGCACTTAAAAAAAAAAAGACTTTTACTTTGGTTGGTTAAATTTAGCTGCACTGCACTGTCTGCTTGTAAAGGATTCTATATATTTTTTTCATTCAGAATTCGAGCTTTCGTGCAGGTAATTCGGGTGGGCCGTTGATTGATTCGCACGGGCATGTTATTGGAGTTAATACAGCGACTTTCACCCGTAAAGGTGAGTACTTTCTCCATGATTGAATGAAAATCGAAACTTGTATTATAGTCTAAAGAAAATCAATTGAAATTGCTTTTCTTTCTTAATTCTTTTTTTATTATTATTATTACTTACATTTATACGAAACCGAACAATGAATGCAGGAAGTGGAACATCATCTGGGGTGAATTTCGCGATACCGATTGACTCAGCTCTTCGAATCGTGCCTTACCTTATTGTGTACGGGACTCCATATGCAGACAGATACTGAAAGAGCATCGGATAATAGTTAATAGTTAGATAATAAATACTGACATTTTTTTTTTCTTTACTAAGCTTTCAAACTGGTTTTCTTGAAGATCATGAATCCAGTGTTGTGTATATGCTCAAGCTTCAAAATTCGACATAATTTTTTGTGTTGTAATTACCATTTTTCTTTACATAGTGCGATCATAACTTCGAAACAACGATTAGCTAGACTTCATTTTTCGTGCCATGTTGTCGGTATTCGAACAAGAATACTCACAA